TAGTTTTGTGTCCACCATCCACCATTGAGTTAATTTAGACTTATAGTGACCCTACAAGAAAGAGTAGAACTATGTCACATGGTTTTCAAGGCTGTAAATCTGTACAAAAGCAGACTGTTTCATCTTTCTCCCATGGAATACCTGTTGGGTTCGAATTGCTGACCTTTTGGCTAGCAGACATGTGCTTTAACCACTGTGCCACCAGGACTCCTTTTTTATGTCAGAGAGGATACTACCATATAACCATTCAAATGGATGGTAAGACCATGAAGAAAATTAGATAAAACATTTATGAGATAATACTAAATATCAAAAGTAAGATATGAAGTTATAAGAATATAGTTTTTATAATTATGCACGTGAAAAATATATTCAGTTATAAATTGAAATGACAAAAATGCTTGTATTAGAGAAGTGGAATTATGGATTTTTTTAAACTTTCCTAGATTCTAAGTTTTATTTAGTGTTTTTTCAAAATAATTTTTTTACTTTAGAACAATTTTAGATTTACAGAAAATTTATAAAGATGGTACAGTTTTCTCTATTATTAACATCATACTTTTGTACGGTGCTTTTGTTACAACTAATGAATCAATAATTTAATGTGGCTTTTAAAACTAAAGAAAAAAAATTAAACACCACTTAAATAGTGGAAAATGTTGCTGTTTCCCTAACCTCTAACCCCAAATTGTTGTTGTTGTTATGTGCCATCGAGTCGGACCCCAAATTAGCATCCTAATATTTAACACTTACTATATTTTTATTATTATTTCAGATCCCTCTTGGCTACAAACTAGAATAAATTTTGCTTTACCATCATGAGAATCACCACAATCAACACCTATAGAAGCAGCAGTCAAGAAATAAATCAACAGCCTCATGTGCATGTAAGAATGAACAATGAATAAGGAAGATGGCAGAAGAAGGAAGACTGCAGAAGACTTGATGCACTTGAATTGCTGTGTTGGTGAAGAATACTGAATGTACCATGGGCTACTAGAAGAACAAACAAATCTGTCTTGGAGGAAGTACAGCCAGAATGCTCCTTAGAACTGAGAATGGCCAGACTTCATCTCTCATACTTTGGTTATGTTGTGAGAAGAAACTAGTTCCTGGGGAAGGATATCATGCTGGGTAAAGAAGTAAGTCAGTGTAAAAGGGGAAGACCCTCAATGTGATGGACTGATACAGTGGCCACGATGATGGACTAATGCATAGCAACAACTGTGAGGATAGTGCAGGACCAGACAATGTTTTGTTTTGTTGTACATAGGTTTGTTGTTGTTGTTGTTATGTGCCATCGAGTTGGACCCAACTCATAGCAACCCCTCCTTGGGTTTCCGAGGCAGTATCACTATGAAAGTAGATTGCCCCATCTTCCTTCCAAAGAGTGGCTGGGGGGTTTGAACCACCAGCTTTCTGGTTAGCAGTCAAGTGCCTTAGGCACTACACTACCAGAGCTTCCATACATAGGGTAGCTATGAACCAAAACCAACTCCATGGTACCTAACAACATCATCATTTAGCATATGTTTGTGCATATAGTTAAAACTTTCTGATTATGAACAGTTCTGGGAAACGTTTTCTTTGGTATAAAATAGCAGAGAAATTATTTCAACATATGAAACCTACCACCCATACCCTAGAATCTAATTGTGTGAGTGATGCTTGTCCAACAAGTCTATAAAGCTCTGCCTGTGGTCTTATGCACTTCCCTCCCCATCCCATTCATCTAATCACACACTCACCCCATTCCCCAACAACCTGAGCATCCTACCCACTCTTGCCTTTTATATCTAATACCCAATCCAGATTTGGTCTCAAAGTATACATTTAGTTTAGTAAATACCAATTATAATAAATTGTAGGAGTAGGATAGATATAGTGAATTTTTAAATTACTAGGTACATTTTAAAAGGGATCTTTCATGACCATGTATAGGGTTGGCAGACAATGTTTCTATAAGTGTATTTGTATTTTGTCTAAGAATTTCTAGGTACATAGTAGAGCTGACAAGGGACAAGGTTGTAGTCACTTCTTGGCTACAGCCAGCTACCCAGAGGGAGCAAGTAGTTGGACCTGTGGCCTCGGGACCATGGTTGCAGGGGACATCAAGCTCAATTGGCATGAAATACTACACAAAAACATTGTTCTACATCCTACTTTGGTGAGTAGCGAATGGGATCTTAAAAGCCTGCAAGCGGCCATCTATATGCAACGATGGGTCTCACCTCATCCAGAGCAAAGAGGAATGAAGAAAACCAAAGACACATGGAAACTATTAGTCCAAGTGACTGGTACACCATGATCCTCAGCCTATGACTATGAGACCAGAAGAACTAGATGGTGCCTGGCTGCCACTGTCAATCACTCAGAGGGGGATCTATGTAGGAGATCCTGGATAGAGTGGGAGAATAATATGGAACAAAACTCAAAATCATTAAAAAAAAAAAAAAAAGGGACCAGGTATGCTGGTCTGATAGAGCCAGATGGAACCCCTGAGACTATGGCCCCCAGCTGCCCTGCAGGACTAGCATTGAACCCACACCTGTGGCTTCCAGCCAAACAAAAGACAGGCCAATGAAGTGAACATTTACATTAGGTAGATACATTCCTTGGTGAGATCAATCATGGGAGAATGAAGTGGTCGTGTATGCACAATGAGACAGCTCAGAGGGACAGGAGTGCATGGGAGGGAAGGACACAGGGAAGAGGTAACTATGGGGAGGAAGTAGGAAGAAAGCTGTTGCATTGTGAGAAATTGCAGTCAATGTCATGAGACAAAGTGTATGTGAACTGCTGTATGCTCTGTAAACTTTCACTCAAATCACAATATTTTTTTTTTTTAAAGTAAGGGATCTTTATGAAATTCTGAGATGCCAGACTTCGTTTTTGACACCCGGACACCACAATATTTTCTGTTGCATCATTCAGACAAAGACAGTTAAAATTAAACCCTAGTAAAAAATAGATGCTTGTTTTTAAAATATAAAACTCACTAAAAATCAGGTATTAAATATTCTGAAGAACGTATTTCTAGCTTGCTTTTAATGTCTGAACTAGAGAAAATGGAGTTTTTTTTGTTTTGTTTTGTTTTTTTAAATTTCTCCCCCAGTGAGTTTTCTTTGTTCTATTTGCCAAGTTGGTTTCAAAGAATCTTTCTGGATATCTATCAGTTTAAAAAAATCCTATAGATTACACAAAGAAATAACCTACTAAAGTAGCTAACTACAGTCTTACTTTTTATGAGAATATAACACATTCCATTTTTAAAACAGAACTTTAAAAAAATATCAAATGTTTTTTCCCTCTTTTTCAGTTGATAAATGTATTTTCATATTTTAGGATAGTCTTTACTTGATATAACCAGAACTGTAACACTCAAAATGGCAAAAGTGCTGAACAGTGCCCTAATGTATGTTCCGTACCTAATTTACAATGGTTTTGGAAAATCTCTAAAATTAAATTAAACAAACAACTTTTAACTTCAAGGAAGGCTATGTCATATCACACACACACACATAGCACACACACACACACAAAAAGTGAGGCAAAAACTATGGTAAACAAATTAAGGATTGCAAGAAAATTAAAAAAAAGCATATTTTAGGTTTATTAAAATAGCTTAAATTCAGTGAGATCAGAAGTCAACCATTAGATTTCAGTGCCAAAGAAAATGCTGAGTATCAGGACTGAAGAATATGCTAAAGGATATTCTACCCACAGGCAATAATTAAAATCTCTTTATTGATTAACTAAACTATTTCACAAATGGAAGTTTAAAGTAGTTTCAATGATAATTTTTAAGAGCTTGGCTACATGATTAAAATTTCTTATTGTATCAACTAAGGTATAACTTTGCTTTGGAAACGTGTTTGAACTACCCAAGAATACCATTATTAAAAATTTAATACACATTAATTTTTTTTAGCAAGACTAAACAAATCTTCAAAACTGTCTGATTAAAAATTAACTTGGTATTATGAAGGAACAGGACCAAACCAGCATATCTTGAAGCAAGACATGATTTTTATGACATTTAATGGTCTGAATAAAGTTTAGCAGATGTTAGGTATTGTGTAATTTTGTTCATGAGTTTTGAGTAAGTGAAAAGAGATGGAGTGGACAGTACAACAGGTAACTAAAGCACACGGTGACACAGGAAACATATGGAAGGATGTCCATCAAATGGTGAACAGTGGAATGATAGGCATTCTCAATGTTTTCTGTCTTCTTTCTGTACTATCTGAATTTTAAAATAATAAACAGTCTTTTATAATCAGAAAACAAACATTTGCTCTTTGGAAACAGACAAAATTAATTATGTTGAAGTCTGATTCCTGATATCTGAAAAAGTAAAAACTTTATAAAACATACATAATGTTATTGGACTATCAGGTTTGCTCCAGCTATATATGTGTATGTGTGTGTATACATATATATACATGTATGTGTATACACACACACACACATATCCCATCCACAGTATACTATGTGTGGAAGAAAGCAACTCTCCCTTCTAATTCAGTAACATTGACTGCCTATTCTTGTTATGCAGATAAATATTTATTTCAAAAAATGGACTAAAGTTATCATACCAAATCAAAACCAAACCCCCTGCCACTGAGTTGAGTCTGACTCATAGCGACCCCCATTGGGTTTCTGAGGTGGTAAATGTTTACAAATGTAGATTGTCCAGCGCTGCTACCGCAGAGTGGCTGGTGGGTTTGAACCACCAACCTTTTGGTTAGCAGTCAGTTAGTTAGTCACTGTGCTACCAGAGCTCCTTAAAGCTATCATAGTTACTTGAAACAACAGAGGTTGTATTGATATGCTACACTATTGGGATGCATAAAGATCATTTTCAAACTTATTTTATTATCCAGAAATCCTGCTCCTCGTTCTTTATTTTTAAAGTTCTATAAGATAATTTCTAAAAATTCCTAGCTAGATTAGCACATACCTAAGGATAAAAATATAGTTGAAATTATCATTCTTACCTGATGTTGCTCATCAGAATTTTCTGGGAAGTTCAAAGTAAGTGTATCACATTCCTTGGCTAGAATAAAAAAAAACAAAAAACAAAAAACAAAAAACCCACAAAACTTGATAAAGAAAGCACACATTCTGTGGTGTAAGATTTAAAATTAACACTCAATATTATGTGCTGCCTTATTGTGGTGGTTAAGTTGTATGCTGACTTGGCTGGGCCTGCATTTGAGTGGCTGGGCAGCTAGATGTAATTATTCCCCATGATGAGACTGGTAATCAATTCCATGATGAAATCTACTGGAGCAGCTGAGTAGCTGCCTTAGGGATGTGGTCTTCTTCCAATATATAAGAAGTCAGCTTTGAGAAAGATCTCTGAGCTTTTTGGCATGCTTGGATGCTGCATGTGGCTGAGTTTTCATCTCAGTGGTTTGCCATATTGTCTGATGATCTCGGGACTATTAATGGACTTGAATTAGTGGCCTGCCATATTCCTTGATAATCTTGGGACTATGCCATTTTACTTGTTGACCTTGGGTTTGTCAGCCTCAGTGGGCAGCAGCTGTTGGAGCTAAGAGATGCCTCCAGCTTCAGTAGGCCAGGAGCAAGAGGTCTAAAGTATAAGGTCAAGGGTCTTTCACCCTGCCCCTAGAGCTAGCACTTTGAACTCAGACTTCTAGCCTCCTAAACTGTAAGAGAATGAATCCTTGTTTGTTAAAGCCACTCAGCTGTGGTTATTTTCTGTTAGAGTGGCACTAGAGAACCAAAACACTTACTGAAAACCAAATCCCCTGCCATCAAGTTGATTTCAGCTCATAACAACTCCATAGGAGAGAACAGAACTGCCATATAGTGTTTCCAGGGAGCTCTGGTAGTGTAGTGCCTAAGGCACTTGACTGCTAACCAGGAGGCTGGCAGTTCAAACCCACCAGCCACTCCTTGGAAGGAAGGTTGGGCAATCTACTTCCGTAGTGATACCACCTCAGAAACACAAGGAGGGGGTGCTATGAGTCAGGTCTGACTCGACGGCACATAACAACAACAACAATAGTGTTTCCAAGGCTGAAAATCTTTACAGAAGAAGACTGCTTCATCTTTCTTCTGCAGAGCAGCTTGTGGTTCAAATAGCTTAGTAGCTGAGTGCCTTAATGTCTATGCTACCTGAGCTCCTGTAATGTCTTAATATCTGGTAAAATCAGGACAGTCTTGAATGGCTTAACCACAAGTTTCCCTCTCCTCTAGCCAAACAACCTTCCTTATCAAGGGACCAGCACAGTGCCTGCTTATCCTCAAGCAATGGTTTAAGTTTCCTGCCAGCCCACATCCTCCTACTGGAACCAGAGGACACCCCACCCTCTTGATACTACAAAGCCTGCCTCCCAAGGTTGTAGTCACTGCTTGGTCACATCCAGCTACCCAGAGGGACCAAGTAGTTGAAATTGTAGGCTCAGGACCATAGTCGCAGGGGACATTAAGCTCAATTGGCATAACATACTACATAAAACATTGTTCCACCTCCTACTTTGGTGAGTAGAAACTGGGATCTTAAAAGCTTGCAAGCTGTCATCTAGATGCAACGATGATTCTCTCTGTGTCCAGAGCAAAGAAGAATGAAGAAAACCAAAAATTCACGGAAACAATTAGCACTAGCGACTGGTACACCATCCGATTTGCAGCCTATACGACTATGAGACCAGAACTAGATGGTGCTCAGCTCAACCACTTGGAAGGGGATCTATGTAGGAGATCCTGGATAGAGAGGGAGAACAATGTGGAATAAAACTCAAAATCATTTGGAAAAAAATAAAGAAAGGGGGACCAGGTAAAATGGTACAACCATTGTGGAAAGCAGTATGGCGGGGAACAGGTTTACTGGCCCGATGGAGCCTGGTGGAACCACTGAGACTATGGCCCCTAGCTGCCCGTCAGGTCTGGAATTGAACCCACACCTGTAGCTTCCAGCCAAACAAAAGACAGGCATATGAGTTGAACATTCACCTCAGGTAGATACACTCCTTCGAGAGAACAATCATGGGAGAAAGAAGGGCTGTTAATGCACAGGGAGACAGCTCAGGGGGCAGGAATGCATGGAGGGATGGACACAGGGAAGAGGTAACTATCGGGAGGAAGTGGGAGGGGAGCTGTTTGCATTGTGGTAAATTGTGGTCAATGTCATGAGACAAGGTGCATGTGAACTGCTGTATGGAAAGTGAATTTGCTCTGTAAATTTTTACCCAAAAAAGCCTGCCTCCCACAGTCCCAGACTGTTCATTCTGCTCTCAAGTGAAGCCCCATGTGGCCCTGTATGGTCCTCCATCTGCAAATGAATGTGACTAACTACTGTTAGTCTCATCTGTCCAGAGTTGGGTGTTATGTTCAGCTATCTTCATAACCCTAAGATGTGAGTCCCTCCCTCACCAACAGAGTGAATAGAAGTTAATCAAAACAATTGGTGTCATGAACAGAATGCCCAGCCAGGACCAAGGACTCCTGGCCAGATTTAATTAATAGCACTTGGGTAACTAGTTGGTTCCATGATACAGTGAAGGCCATCCAGGAGAAACTGTCAATTGCTGCTAAGTATGTACTTTAGTCCATGTGGCACTGTGTTGTCTTTGTTACCTACTTGCCATCTCTTCCATCCTAAAAATACTCATTTTCAAGATGAAACCTGTTAATTGACTATACTTGCTGTCAGGCCAATTTATGTTTCTGAGGCTCCCACCTCTAACAGTGGTGACAACATAGCATCCTAATCAGTTGGCACTTAACCACTTGCAAAGGATTAGTCTATAGCTCCCTAAGCACTGTCTATCCTGGTGACTGCCTCTGCTGCTTGGGGCAGCCATGAGGATATTGTTTGTGACTGTTCACCTTCAGGATGGGCTAGAGTATGGCCCTTTGTAAGTTTTGTAAAGAGCAAGGAGAGCACTACCCCAGGGAGTTAAGCATGACACCCCATTGCTGTTGTTCAAGCCCGGGTGGGGCCTTGCCCATCTCCTGCACTGCTACTTTCTGTGCTGCTGTCACGCCTGCTCTCCTGATATCCTAAGGATATGAGATGCACACCCATGTGCCCAGGTGTTGATGAAAAAACAAAGGGGAAGGAGCATCTCAGAGATCAGCTAAACTGTTCTCCCCATGCAAAACCTCTACACCTGCCTTTGCTCACTACTGCTGTGATCTCAGGACTTGATGACTCTCACTGAGGTAAAGTGCTCTTATTGGATGCAGAACTGGGGAGACTGACCAGGACTCCCTGGAGGAGAAAGTGGCCAGCTAGTAGGAGGACCCCAAGTTCTTCAATTTTTCCCCACAACCATCTTGAAAGTCCAAGTCATGGGTGATTAGATGAAGACAGAAACTGAAAACAAACTTTAAATAGCTAGAAATTCAAAATATTCTGAGGGAATTTGAATGGAGGCAGGAGGGAGAGGAGGAAGAGGAGAAACCTCCGACTGCCTGGTGGAGAAGGCAGGCTGTAGCAGAGGTTGGTTTCAATGCCCCAACCTTAGGAGTATGGATGGGCTCAGCATTCTTTCATTACATCACCCTGCTACCTCTGTATCTGCTACAACAAAAATCCTGATCCTTAACAGTACAGGGAAAAAAACTACGGAACACTGTGGCACAGTGAAGGCGTTAATTCAAACCTGGTTTAAGCCAGGGTACCTAAATGATAAGAAAGCAACCATTGTCACAGGGGAGGCCCCCACCTGTGACAATAATGATTTGAAGCTCTCTGGAGGAAAAATATTAAGATACCAGTATGTCAGACAGGATCCTTTCCTCCTACTAAACTGTATCTAGTGACTAAAAGAAAAACAAAAACAAAAAAAGGAATGAAAAATATGAGTAGGAGAAAAAAAGAGGGGTTAAAAAAGAGTTAAGTCAGAGGTGCCCAATTTAACATAATTGGAAATCCAAAATTTACTAAAATAATTTATGTAACCACAAAAAAACATATAAAAGTGCTATTGGCTTTTGTGTCTCTACAACATAGGTTCTGAATTAACTTTAGTGTCTACTAAAATACAATTAGCAAACTTTCATGAACTTAATCATCTGGTGGGAGTCACAAAGATCATGGCTAGAAGGGCAATATCAAGCAATTCACTGTCCCCAGGGTCCTTAATCCATCGTAAATTTGTTTTTGTGTATGGTGTGAGGAATGGATCCTATTTCATTTTTCTGCATGTAGAAATCCAATTTATTGCAAAGATTCTTCTTTCCCCATAAGATGGTTAAAACCAATTTTGTTTCATACAATTTTAATCTTTAACATCACACTGTAATCATAGTGACCCCTCCTTGGGTTTCCAAGGCAGTATCTCTATGGAAGTAGATTGCCTAGTCTTCCATCTGAGGAGTGGCTGGTGGGTTTGAACTGGCAGCCTTCTGGGTAGCAGTCAAATGCCTTAGGCACTACACCACCAGAGCTCCTTGATAGAAACATGTTGTTGTTGTTGTTATGTGTCTTCAGGTCAAATCTGACTCATAGCAACCCCTCCTTGGGTTTCCAAGGCAGTATCACTAGGGAAGTAGATTGCCCAACCTTCCTTCAGAGGAGTGGCTGGTGGGTTTGAACCGCCAGCCTTCTGGTTAGCAGTCAAGTGCTTTAAGCACTATGCTACCAGAGCTCCTCTGATAGAAACGTTGTTGTTGTTGTTATGTGCCGTCGAGTCAGCCCTGACTCATAGCGACCCCTCCTTGGGTATCCGAGGCAGTATCACTACGGAAGTAGGATTGCCCAACCTTCCTTCCGAGGAGTGGCTGGTGGGTTTGAACTGCCAGCCGTCTGGTTAGCAGGCAAGTGTCTTAGCCACTATGCTACCAGAGCTCCCGATAGAAACATAGTACATTATAAAAGAAATATTTAGTGTCATGTAAAATTTTAGTGGTACAAAGCTTTAAATAGAGAATTAACTCAATGTTCAAAGGTTAGGAATGAGAGACTAATTCATTTGTTTTTTTTTCACATTCATAACATTAATTTTTTTTTCCTTAATAGTATTATCCGAGAAATTTAAACTAAAACTAGTTTAAGAGACCAAGGGACATTGAAAAGCA